TAGATCCTTGTTGTGGCTAAAAGTTGTTTGTTTTCTCTGAGAAATATTATTATCCAAGGCTTTTCTAATCATGTTGTTAAGACTGTCCCATAAGTGGTTCTGATTGGCAAGGCAGGCAATTTCGATGTCTTCTTGTATTGCTTGTATTTGTTCTTTGAAAGCTTTATTGAAACTTATATATATTTGTGAAGAATATGATTCTGTTGGGTCTGTATTCAAATCAATCCAGGATAGTGGTTACTTGCATGTAGTCGGTGGGAATGACTTTTTGTTCGAAAACTTTATAGCTTAAAATCTTGCTGGCCAGGTTGTGTGTAATCCAAATTTGGTCGATCCTGGAGGCACTTGTGTTGATTATATAAGTGAAAATATTTTTCTTGTTTGTAGCCCTTACTATATCTATAAATCTATTGAGATATCTATAGATGGATTGCTTGTGTAGTGTGGTTGGGGCATTGATGGCCAGAGAATTAAGTGGATAGGTATTGAAGTCACTTGCCAGAATGATATGTTTTTTCTGATGTTTTCTGATGAAATTCTTTAAAGAGATAATTACAAGTTTTCTTGTTATTTTCTCATGTGACAAGTAACAAGAGATTATTATTATATCGATCTTAGGTTTAAATTTGAAGTGAATAGTACATCAATATTCGTTTTAAGCAAATGTGTTAAAAATATGATTGCTAATAGACTTTGTTGTAAGGATGCAAGCCCCGTTAGATGCATTATTTGATAGGAGACTTGAGATGGTTGTAAGATTGTTGAGTTTTTTTGGAAGTGGATTACCAGAAGATGCCTTTGTCTCGGAGCAATAAAGAATACATCTATCATTTGTAATTGCTTTGGTGAGTTCGTAGCATTTGCCTTTTTGAGAGAGATCCTGAATGTTAAGAGTGGATATGGTAATTAGGTTTCTTGTTAAGATTTTTAAGGTTGTTTGGAGAATAATGGCTGGTAAGATTTGTTTGAAGTGTTAATAGGAATAGGGTTTATTGCATTAAGATTAATTAGAGAGAGTTGATAGTTGGCTTGGTTTATGCTCATACTTATTGTTAGATTAGGTTAGGGAGAAGAGTTATTATTGGTTCAGGTAACTATGGTTCAGTTATAAAGATGTTTGGTAATTTTTTGAAATGGAAGTATTTGCTCAATGTCTTAATATGATTGTTCAGATGGAGGTTGTCCTCTAGTGGAAGATTTGGATTGATTTTTAGATTTGATAGAATTTTGTTTGCTTCTTTTAAATCTGGAAGATTAGAGAGAAGAGGAGTAATCCATTCTCTAGGGATTTTGCCTAGATATTTGTTCTTAATTTTTGCAACTGTTTGTTTGAAGTCTAGTGCATCTCTATTAAGCTAGTCTCTAGAGATATTCAGTTCAGCCTCTACTGTAGAAAAATCTTCTGAAAGTTTGGATTTGTCAGATTGATTAAGATTCTTCTTGATCCACTTGGGGCCTAGAGGAGGTTTCAGGTAAAATTTGTGATTTAAGTCTTCAATGAGTTCATCTGTCTCTTCTTGTGTGGTAACAGATAGGAGGATGGAATTGTTTTTGCTGTATCAGTGTGCTGGAGGAAGGAGGCATTTGACTTTAATGTAATCAAGTGAAAGGTGTTTTATTGCATAATTGTTATCTCTAAGCAATTTTACATCTTTCTTGAATTCTTCTATTGTATTATTAACTGAAAAGTGTTTTTCAAAATTGACTAGCCATTCCTTAAATAATAGTGGCAATTGTGCTTTTGGTGAAAGAAGGTCAAAGTAAGATTCTGAAAGTTTGCTTGGAACATAGTAGTACTCTCTTAGTTTGTTTACGTGGAATTTAAGGTCTGCAAGCTCATATCTTTCTATAAGTGAAAAAGGATGAGCTACTTCTATATTAAAGTCTTTTGATCTGTTTGGAAGGTTAGGTTTTTTGATAAAATAGGTAATGAAAAGAAGATCAAAATTATAAAAGGTTCTTAAGCTGTTAATGATCTCACTTGTGTTCTTGCTTGAGGTAATTGGAACAGTTTTGGAAAGTTTAATCTTTATTGCAATAGGAATTTCATTCAGATTGGCAAATAATTCAGGTAGGTTTTTTTGGATGAGTTCTTCACATGTTTCATATAACTCTTGGTAGTCGATTTTTTGAAGTGTAAGATTGATGAAGAAATTAAAGCTGTATTTAAGAAGTTGGAAACTTGCCAATACTTCAGTAGTGCTAGGTCTGTTGAGTGAAGATAGGCAACAAAAAGGATTTTGTTGATCATTTTTCTGATTTTATTTCAAGTGGTTCTGGTGATGTAATCCAGGTTGTTGGCTTGGCAGTAGTTTTAATGAATTTGCTTCTCAATTTTCTCGTATTCTTTTTGATATTAGCCTTTGATTAGTTTATTCTTTGCAAATGTTCTAAAGAAGTCACGATCTCTGTACCTGATTTTTGAGAATATTTCTTTAAGGGAGGTTCTTGGGATACCTACTGGCTTGTTTTTGATTTTTAGAAAGAAATTAATTATGTATTTGACTATTCTTTCATATTTGTTAAGTTTCTTATACAGTTTCAGGATTTTTTTCTACTATTAAGTGGAGTATTTCTTATATTAGAAATGCCAATAACATTATTCTTTTCAGATTGATTTTTATTTAGATATTTATTAGTTTCATTTGCCCAGTTAATAGGAAGGGATTCAAGGATCTCCACTGATTGGCTTGAGGAGAGTTGTTTATCAATTTTTATATTTGTTGTGGCTGATTGGGATGGCTTATGTATGGGAAGGTGTGTGGGTATATTGTATCCTTAGGTATTATACTGTATTATATGTTTGTCACTTGAGATTGCATGGGAACTGAATTGATTACTGCTGTGTTCAAGGAATATTGCATTAGAACTGGTTTGATCGACATTGTGTTCCAAAGTGTTTGCATGTTGTGCATCATTCTCATAATCAAGTTGTATGTTATTGTCATTGATCCTTTCTTCAATTAGGACAGGAGTGTTAGGAGGAGATATGAATGTTTTAGTTTTCACTCCAGAGAAAAAGTTTTGGCTGCTTCATTGACATTGATATTAATTTTGTTTCAGAAGACGTGAAGCCTATAGGTAAGTTTCTACTTAAAAAGTTCTTTCATGATTTTTGCTTTTGTCACTATTAGATAGGCAAAAGGTATATTGATATTCAAAAAATGAATTTATTGTTTCCAGAAACATAGGATTTAGAATGGAGGTTTTAACTTCAATATAGTAATTTCCAAGTCTTTTTTTTTGTACTTCGAAAATAACTGAGATTACTTTGAGAATTTTGTGATTATTCTCTTGGAGACATACTGATGTTAGTCATGTTTTTGAAGAGTTTTCAAATTTGGGAAGACAGATATTAGCAGTAGGGTTGGTAATGTAAATAATATTGTTATTATGAAAAATTATGACTAGACATTTGTCAACATCAGTGATAAGGACATCAAGTAGTGTGTGAGTTGATTCAATAAATTGTTCTTTGGAGAATAAGAAAGATCTTTCAGGATCTTTTACAGTTTTTTTTGAAAAAAAAATTTTTAATTTCCTTTTTTAATAGTTTTATTCAAATATAAATATGTTTGAGAAAGAGTTTTTTTATAATTTTTTATATAGTATTTTATTTCTTTTTTATTTCTTATGGTTTTTTTATATATAAATCTGAGTAGGTATTTATAGTTGCTTGGCACTATCTTTGACAATATATTGGTTTTAATTAAAGATAGGTCTCTAAATTAAAGACAAGGATATAATTCAAATGTTCCTTATTATTAAAAAAGTTTTTTTTTAAATATAAGGTCAAAAATAAACTATTTACAAAGATTTTTTGCAATTTAGACTATTTGATCCAAGTGTTTTTAAAATTATGTCTCTATTAAAGTAATAAATAATTAATTATATCTCTTCAAAAGAAACATAATTGATCTGCAAAATTTTATATGCTAAATAGTTTAGGGACCCATTCTTAGTTTTAATATTTTTTTTTCTTTGCAACTTAAATAGTTTACCATAGGCAAGCTAGTATTTAACTTACTAATCAATTGGTCATATAAGAGATATTGTTACTTTTTTTATATATAAATTTTTTACAATTTTATAATTATAATAAAATAATAATGTTTATTTACTTAAAAGAAATAATAATAATTAATTTGTTAATAAAGATATTTAAAAAAGAAGTAGAAGTTTATTTAAAGATTATTGCTATAAAAATTTTTTTTATTTTATAAAAAATAAAACAAAAATAATTATTTATAATAATATTTAATATATAGTTTAAGATTATTATAAAACTCTTTTTATTAATCTTTTAACTATTATTTTAAAAAAATATTCAAACTAAAATATGTTCTTATTTTTAATAAAAGTTATATATTTTCTTAATATAAATTTGATAAATATTGATAAAAAATATTTTAATTCTCTATTGTTTTATATTTTTTTTAAAAAGTTTAAAAAAAAATAATTTATTTGATTTCTTTTTCTTTTATTATTATTATATTAATATTTTTATAAGAAGAAATAATTTGTAAGATTATTAAATATTTTAATAATTGCCAATTTTAATTTGACTTTAAATTTTTTAATTAGATTTTTAGATTTTAATCTATAGTTTATACAAATTTTTAAATAATATATATTAATTTATAATTAATATAAATTTAAAACCAATATTTAATAATATATATACTTTAAATTCATTTTTTCTAAGAATTTTTCAAATTGTATAAACATTAATAAGAATAAATGCAAAATTATTTAATATATAAAATTTTATAAATTAATTATATATATTTTTATTGTTTTAATAGAAATATACTGTAAATATTTTGTTATGAGAGAGTAATTTAATTTTAATACTATATATTGTATTACTTATTATATACCATATATGTCAATTCTTGTATCTTTATATGATATATTTCAGGAAATCAACATCCATAATATAATAATTACTATCATATAAATTTTTATTGCGTAATTATAAGCTTATTTTCAATAATGATATGCAAGATAAGATGTGCGAGGTGCTTAATTTCTGGTCGCTAGATACACTTTAGTACCGATCGATCGATCGATTTTTTTTTTCATAATTCTTTTTTTTGTTTCCCAGATGATTTTTCCTTGTAATTTTTTCCAGCGAGCCACGAGCTTCGGCGGTCAACTACAAAGGAGGACAAAAATTCGCCCGTCATTTTATCAAGATTCCATAATTCAACAATTGCAACGTTTTACAGGAACCGGAGTGACGCGACAAAATGTATATGGAAAATTCAAGCTCGCGGGCGTAAAACTTCGTCACAAACATTTTTCGTACAGTAAACATCATGATCGATATAATTCAACGTCAAGTTCTAATGAAAATTCATCGAAAGCCGATGCATCGGATGAAAACGCGAAAAACAAGCCCATTTTAAAGGAATTGGTGTACGGTCGAACACGTATTTATACAGCATTGCCACCGGCCTCTTCCCACTCTCCAACAAACTCAAAGTCATCTCCCGCGACATCCTCTCCAATATACTGGCAATGGCAATCACAAACTTCCAATGCTGGTGGCGTTCCAGAAGAAAGGGGTCCGGTGTCTAGCTTCATCGGTAGCATCAAACAAAGTCTAAGTGCAATGTTTCTTCCGGTCGGGTAAGTCTTGCGATTCTGTTATTTACCTTTTTGAAGCAAACGAGTTGATCAAGATATATTTAGGTTTCCAGACACCGTACACGAGTGCTACACTAAATTTCACATATGGTTGGCATTAGAAACGTTCATAGGGTCATCGGTAAATTTTATTTTAGTACAATAACCTTCTATATGGTTTCAGAGTTTTATTAGAGATTTTGTTCTATTATCTAGACAGGTGTTCTGTGTAGTCAAGCAATGTTGTCATCATTGGGTTTGGGTCAAATGGAAGCAGCCGCCGGTGCAGTCGCAATTCAGTGGTAAGTTTGATGATCTCTCTCTCTCTCTTTTTTTTTTTTTTTAAAAAAAAAACGAGCATACTATTCATAGCATCATTTTGGATGCGTCTGCATTAAAGTCAAGTTAGAATCATATGATTTATGTGGTCATTTTGATAGTAAAAACCTATTTATCTTATTTGGAAGATTTTATTTGACATTATGCTGAATTCTGTGAGGGTAACGTAGGGTTCTCAAAGATGGATTTGGTGAAATAGGAAAATTATTTTTTATAAAGAGATTTGCGTATTCCTTCGACTCCCATCCTAAAACATGGAAAATGGTAATTATATAATAATTGTATAATTTTAGCAAACTATTTAAACGAAAATCTCCATCTATTAATCTAATTTGCTCTTCATTCACACCATTGATCATAAGATTAGTGAAATATTTGCTATCGTAGGGTATTTCCTCCAATTAAGCACTTGTGTTGCAAAACCTTCACTTTTCCTACCGTTGGCTTCTCTGGGTAACGCATGCGAAAGCATCCAGTACAGCATCTTCGGAGCAACACATATGGCGTTTGTCAGAAACTTTGCAGTATGTTTTTTGAGAATTTCTTTGATCCAATGGCTTGTAATCATATCGGTAATATCAGCAATTTTGTTAATTTTGATCAACCAAAGCTTTCTGGTAACGTCGGTGATATCGTCGCCAAGGATGACGCGCAGATGTCTTTTGCACATTTGCTCGGGTAAGTTTATATCTATTTACCTACCTTAATGCAGGAGCGACAGATATCGGATGTTTAATGTGTTTATCGATAGGATGCTCTCTGGTGTTGCCATGATTACTATTTCACATGATCCGGTCGTTCTGTTCACATGGTTTACCGTTCTTGCACCATTCAACATATATGCAACACTATCTCTTCTGAACGCTGCGCAATTTGAGATATTGAACCAAGCGAAATTATCGTTAATTGCCAGGCAGTACATTGATTGTGACAAGGTACCAACCATGGAAGAGCTTAAGGATAGAGAGATTGGGTTTGGGGAATGGATCAGGCCAGGGAAAAGCCCCATTGGGGTTAAAATGCGATTGGGAGTTACCGCCTCTGAAGCATTTCGTCGAACCGAGGATATGATGAATGCGTTGAAAGTATTAGAGGTATTTATTGCTAAGTTTCATCACTGCGCGAATATCATTCCGCATGGTTAACAATATTTTAAAATAGTGCCTTCTTTACGATGGCAAATAATCCTTTCGTAGAACGAAAATTACTTGCTAAGTTATCACCCACACTCAAACACAATTCATACACTCTATCATTCGGATGCTGAATCCAATGACGTTATAAAGTCCATACTTCACTCGCTCAAATTTCATGACACCGTCACCAAGGGCGACAATGATAATACCGAAAGCATCGTAGATTCAATGCGAGTAAGTCACGAATGGACGAATGAAAGGTTTGGAAATTTTGTAGCGGAATTGGATGATAAAGATTGGCAGAGTGACGTGATTTTTTGGTTAGACAGGTAGGTCAATTTGAAATACTTGGAAAGAATCAATCCAATCCTTATTAATACTTATTGTTTATCCAGAGGATTCAGGGTCAAATGGGAGCGTAGCAAAGACAAAGAAAAGACGATATAGCATTTCACGGTAAATAAAGTTGTGTAGAACATTATAGAAAAAAAAGATATATTATATATATGTATAATTTGAGTTATGAAGAAAAAAAATATACATTGAGAATCAACTATCTGCTAATACATTTTTCTTTTGATCGCTCGTGAAACAAGTCTCCCGGAGATGATATTGAATAAATCCAAAAGTAAATGAACACAAATTCTAGATACATCATGAAAATAAATAAATATTTAATTAATTGAGTTATCCTAGAATGTTGATGATTAATGTCTACTATTTGCATTATATATTATCAAAAAAAATTTTGTAAGTAGAGAATTAAAAGCAAATCGGAGCACTGCTCCAATATTAAACGTGTTTTTTTCCTTCTTTATTATATACAAAAATTTTGGTATCGTTATCGATAAGGAATTGAGATTTCCAGATGTTGAATGTCGAAATAAAAGTTTTAATGATCGGTTCTTTGGATTCGCGCTTGAAATGAGGGTAATTTTGTTGGAAGGCGGCAGTGGCACCTTTAAGGTGATAATGAGGTATGATAGGGAAGAGATGATGAATTTGATGTGTGCCAATATTATGAGTGACATTGTGTAGGATTCCGTAATCACGGTCCACCGAAGAGAGATTGCCAACCACATAAGACCATTCATCATTAGAGAACCAAGGTAATTTGATATCTTCCTCGTCGCCATGATGATGAAGAAAAGTGGTGACCACCAACCAGGAAGCGAACACAAACCATGGGAGGAAATAGTATCTTACAACAGGCCAAATGCCGTAAATAGAAGCAACATAAAGAAGAATGGTTAAAGCTGTGAGGACGCAGGTTAATGAGACAATGGCGCCTACACGGTTTTTTGAGAAGATGGGGGCAAAGGGATTGACGAGAGCACTGGCTCTCGTCCCATAACCCGACAGTAGATATATGATCCAACCAAGACCAAAACCAAAATAAGGAATAAGTTTTGTTTTCTCGGAACCATCGGTCATTATTAAGGCGTCGGACTTTCTCATTGGAAAGAAAACTTCATCTTTGTCGATGTTACCAGTGTTTTTGTGATGATGATTATGACTCAATTTCCAAGCGGTATAAGGAACGAGGATCAGTGTATGAAGAAATGTGCCAAAACTATCATTTATCAAAGCACTCCTGCTGAAACTGCCGTGACCGCAATCATGGCCCAGCACAAAAACAGCCCAAAACATTGTACCTTGAGCAAATGCGTAAAGGGGGAGTATAAGAAAAGCTTTCAAAGAGTATGGAATCGAAGAGGCCGAATCAAGGACAAAGTAAACAGCGAACAGAAGGGCAATGATAGACAAATCTCGGATGACATATAGTGAAGATTTGAAAATTGAGGGAACAAAATATTTCTCGGGAATCTTTTTTTTAATCTCAGTAATCTTGGGAACATCGCCTTTTGTAAAGATGGTGTTGGCGGTAACCGATTTATCTTGATCCGAGGGAACCGAAAGATCGGTGTCGGATTCTACAATTGATTGGATCGAGTAGGATTCAAATGGAGGCATCTTCTGTCGTGATTACAAACGAAAGGATGTTTTTCTTCTTGTAATTAATCTTTTGAAAAGATTGTAGTAGGCTTCCTCGCCTTTGTATTGTTTCTTGAAGAGGTTGATTCCGTGAATAGATATATATATACTTTTTTTTTTAGTACTTTTTTTAGTACTGACAGTTGATTGTACAAGAAGAAGCTAGGTTTATTGGCATGAAATTCCAATATTATTTGTATTGTCTAATCAATCTAGATTGTTTAATCTCTTTTTTCTTACACTCGGAAGGATTATCACTGACATAATGTGGCTGACAAAAATTTGACAAGTGGACAATAATAATTACTGTTTAAAAGATTTTCACAAGCATTTAGTGTCCATCGGTAAATCCTATTGTATATATAAGTAGTTTGTTAACCATAAAAAAAAATAAAATAATTAAAATTTTGGCATTTTTTGGTGTATAAGCGAATGAGAATCAATCAACAACTTGGTGTTCGATGCGATGAAATCGACGGAATGTTCGAAACAACATTCTCACTTATGAATGAATAACACTAATCGACCTCCTTAGGTTCTGGACCTGGATACCTTCAAACCAAATATTAAATGTCTGGATTCCACATACAACAAAAACAAATGATTGTTTTAAAATATATTACTTATTGTTTGTTGTGAGTCTCGTACAGTCCTCTGCAGTAACCAATTACAGGTTAAACTTAAATTACATATTATTCTACACTATTCTCAATACGATGCTTACTTGCCAAATATTCTCTGATTGGCAACATACGTATTACAGTACAGTACTCCTTTTTAGTAATTACTGCACTAGGCAATCTCGTGTACATGTATTTCATAAAATATTTGCATAACTGAGCTTGCAACAATATTACTAACCGATCGATCCAATTGTACGCATAATGGTCAGGTCGTGTGAAAAACAATGTATGCACAGTAATATATACGAGCAAAAATGAATTTAAACAAATTAGACCAAATTAGGCAGAAACGATGTCTGGGAAATTAGTGATTGGCTGGAAAGTTCCGACATACATTCCAAGAGTTAACTAAATTTATCTAATGATTGTTTTACTTTCAGAATCACAACTAATTAACAAGCGAGTGACCATATTTGTTGATATTCATTTTATTCTTAATAATCCAAAAGAATACCTTTTGGTTCTTATTTCAAGATAAGGAAACAATCCGCAAGACACTCCCTTTTTCCTACAGGATATATCGTACTTGGTTATCGAGTTAAGAGCTGGTAGTTAATATGGTAGTTCCGAAAAAAAAAATTTTAATCATTTTTAGCCATTATGTAAACGTTACCTCTTCTAATTCATTGATCGCAAAAATAAAAAACAAACATACAATATTTACAATAGGTTCGTGTAATTCAATAAATTATTTATTCACCGTATTTAATCTATCCATGACAGGATTATTTTCAACACATTAGATTGTGGTATTATACTATTGACTCTCGATTAATAAACTAAAAAAAACTTTAATCGTATTATCAATAGAAATTTTCAATAACACGAATTGTTTAAGAAATAAACAATTTTTCAATTCAATAGAAATTTGCAATCATATTATACTGTAATTATAAGATTATATTTTAATTTAAGGACATTTTGACTCGTATATTAAATACAGTTTAATATTATTTAATTATCTCATCTGATTTAATACTTACAGCATACGACTTAATATGACTGTACTCGTGAATATTACCATTTAATGCGAAATTATATGTTGTTTTAAAGATTTTTCATTTTTGAATTTATTACAAAATCAATAAGTCATGATTATTCATTTAATTTGTATTTTCATGACAAGTTTAAAAAAATATTATTATTAAATAAACATAAAAATTATATTGATATTGATATTTATTTGTATAATTAAAAAAAATCAGTCATGGATTTTATAGCACCGTAAATAGTGTGATCCTGAATTACATCATAAAGATTTGTTCTAGTTCAATTTTATCAAAATCAATCAATTATTCTATATATATTATATCAATTAATCAAATCCATATTAAATTCAAATTAAATTAAATAAAAACAAAACTTTTGATTTTTTTATCAATTGAAGATTAAATTACATTAAATTACAAGATTATTAAATAAAAAATATTCTGATTTAATTTAATAATAAAAAGATAAAAAAACAATTAAATCATACAAGTGATATTACAATTCAATTATAACATAAAATAATTCAAATTTTTGAAATCTTTAAAATAGTAATCAGAATATAAAAAATATTTGACATATAAAACTTCAAACAGATTTATTAATTTTACTTTAACAATGTATATAACATATAAATAAGAAAATTAATAAATCAACAAGTAAAAGTTTTTTTTTATTAAAACATTATTTTATATCAAATTTAAATATATTTTTTAATATAATCGTTAAGCCAAGTGAGTCTAGTGAGGATCTACAAGATTAAATTGGAATCCAAGCAAGGACGCCAGTTCTACAGGTGGTGAAAACGGTAGTGTTGCGCTATGCTAGTGGCACATCCCAAGGATCAGTGATAACAAGTGATTGAAATGACTGGAGTTAATCTCTATAATTAATATTCCATATATACTGCTCTTTGCAATAATGAACCAGCAGGTTTAGGTGGATTTAAACTAGTAGTAGGATTCCCCCCTGCAAAAGTCCCACCTAACATGTGAACACATCTACTTGATGTTGAACATATAGTTAGATAAAAAAAAAGTGGTTAACATAACTAGTCTTATAGTAATATATGTACTAGGCAGTGTTAAACTGCAGATTAACTGTAGAGATATAAAAGATATTCATGTACCAACCGATTTCCGATTAGTTTGTAGAGACACTTGGTGTTTGTCTGGATATTAAATGTATCAATAAAGATCACATGTCGTATGCACGTTTCACTTTAAAAATATATATATATATATATTAATATTATATAATTAAAATTATGATATAATAATGAACTTATTAAATAAATCTTAACAATAAATATTTATAAATTAATAAATTTTATTTAAAGTAAATTTTTTTAAACATTTAATAAATAAATATTTTATTTATTAATAATTTAAATATATTGTTACACTTGATTTTCACCTAAGATCTTCATACCCCATGTCTAATTTTTACTAGCATTAATCCTTGAAATGTTAGTTGTTCTAAAATAGATTTGTATTACAAATCTGTTATTGCACCTTTGGCATCTATTGTATCTATTACACCTTTGACATCTATTGTATCTATTATATCTTTACCATTTCTAAAATATTTCTATTTTATTTTATCTTTACTTCTTATATTATCTTTATCAAAGTATTTATTTATATAAATACTAACACAATTAAATATTCAGACAAAGATAATATATATCTCTTAGTTTATATTTTTATTATAGCATCTATTTATTCTATATAAAAATATTATAACTTAAACATATATATAAAGGCTTCAATTTCACCTAGGAATTAGCAGGCTTGAATATATATTTTATTGAATAAATAACTTGACTTTTACAAAACAAATCACTATTGCTTCTTTCGACTAATCTTATATATTTCAGAATTGTACTAATTTATATACCTCTAAGAACTTTAGCATATTATATTGGACCTGTTTATCTAAAGTGCCTCCATTTTACTAGTTCTCAATCTTTATTTTTCTTCTGAGGTAGAAATAATATATGACAATATATTATATATAAAATTATAAAATATTATCAATTTATAGTAAATTTAAATATATGAATTATAGCCTACTTATATGAATTTATAGTAAATTTAAGTATTAAATTAGTATTAAAGTAGTATTGAAATAATGTTATTAAAAATTCTAATTATATAAATTATATTTTATTTATAATATATATAATATACAATAATTAATTTATAGATCAATAACACAATAAATAATAAAAAACTCTTTCCACTGATCCTTTTGCCAACCCAAAAAATAGACATTCTCAAAAGATTTTTTGTTTTTATGATAATAAAGTCTATAGACTTTTCTTAATAACACTGGTCTCTTAATTAGCAGAGTGAGCAAAAGCTATTACTTGTTTTATTTTTCTTTTTCAAAACACTTTTCTTGTTTATTTTGGTGAATATATACAAGAAACCTACCTAAAAGATCTATGGCAAGAACACCTTTCTAGAAAAAAAACTGATAAGAAAAAATATTCTCCAAAGACTTCCAAAAGATTTAAGAATTCAGAGAAACAAGAACAAAAAAGTCTTCAGTCTTTCTATTATCTTTTTGGCTTCCCTTTTCTTTTTTCTCAAGCGTGTTTCCTTTTTTTTAGTTTTTCTGATGAATTTTATCTATTTTAGTTTGACCCTGAATTTTTAGTTACACTGGATCTCCTGAAAGATAATTGATCAAGGTCACAGATTGGTTGATTATGTCAGCCTCAGAAAAAGTAAACAAGATACATATTCATCACATTTTTTCAGTCATGCAACACCAAACTGACAATGTAATTGGTTCCTGAAAGAGTTGGCCAGTTTTTGGTTTAAGAAGTAGTATGGGAATATTAGGTAAAGTAGAAGTTGTGAGTAGAAGAGGAGCGACATCTTTTTGTTTTTATCTTTTTATTTATTTTTTTCTTTTCTATTTTTTCTTAAGGACAGAAAGTAGCAACAAGGTCTAAATCCTATTCCAATTTGATAACAAGTTAAAGTACTAATATTTATCCCAAAAATAATTGAAAAAAGAGATCTTAAAACTATTCACTGGTTGAGTAAAGCAATAATTTCAGAAGACATGACTTGGGAGAGAAATCAACAATAGAAAATCAACATCCTTTCTGGTTAGAAGTTTTTAAGCATAAATTTTCAAGAAATACTCTCTTGAAAGTATCTTTAAATGTTCTTAAACATTGATTACTCCAATAGAAATTAAACAGTTTGACTGACCACAGGTGATGAGAAGTGAGAAACCATAAGAGGCTTGGATTTTAAGTTCACTGAGATAACCTTTTTAATGATAGTTAGA